GAACATCAAACAGTTAGATATTGACATAACTAATCTGAAGAAATCCCTCGTTTCACTGTCTGAAGAGACCTCCTAAAATCTCAAAGATCCTTATTGGACTTGATTTACTCTATTACAATAGAAAAGGCTGTGTACAGCTCTTGACTGCTTACAACCCTTAAAGAAGAATGTTGCCTTTACATAGACAAGACAGGGATGGTTAAAGAGAGCATGAAAAAGGTCAGAGAAGGCCCTGAGAAAAGACAGAGAGAGAAAGATGAGTGCTGGTACAAGAATTGGTTTTCAGCCTCTCCAAGGTTGTCAACCCTACTTCCTCCCATCTTGAGACCATTAATTGTGTTATTTTTGCTTATTTCTTCTGATGTTTTACCTTCTTACAGACAACAATAAATCCTACTGATAAATCTGTAAGCAGTTGTAACTTTATATTCTTGAGGCACTGATACTGTAATATTTATTCATTACTTATATCTTCATACTATTTTCCTTTCAAAGATTCAGATTTCCTTTTGGAATTGTTTTGCCACCATCTTAATATATACTCATAAAGATATAAATCTATACATATATATCCTATACTATATATTATATGTAAATCATATTAAATATATTTTTATAAACATTATATATACATATATAATATTATACAATATATATATTACAGTTCAAAGGCACACAGCACACACTTCCTTTGGGCAATCATGGTATGGTCATGGCTTTCCTGTCTCTTACACTGTTTGAAGTCATGGGTAGGTGCAATCATGTTACTTACGTGGACCCTGTATTTCTAACATCCATATAAAATCTGTGTTTTCTAGGATATATCAGTATTATATTAAACTCCTTTTATAGCAGGAATCCCTGCCACTTGCTACCATAGAGAATCAAGCTCATCCTTTTCAACTGATGGATATATAGGGAGAGATTTTTATAGTTCTGTGTAAGTAGGGATCATGCCCCTCCACCCTACCCCCCACCAGCAGCAGGAAGTAGTTAGAAGACAGACAGTCATCCTTCAGCTCCCCCATAAAGTGTTCTAGATGACACTCTTGCGGTCAGATGAGATAGGAGAACAGGGCAGAGTATGGGGTCCAGAAGACCTTATATAAAGGCAATAAAGTTGGTATATGAGGAAAAATCTGTTGGCAAAGAGGAAAATTGGAAATCCTCCAGCCAATGTCAACTATAAAATATACTTGAGAAGTTAACTCTGTATACCACTAATGTTTGACCTCCTAAACACTCTCCCTCTTCTGACCCAGTTCTACACTTGAAAATGTATTCATGAATAAACCCTCTTGCTTTGCTTTGCTTTGCTATTCTCCAAATGCCTCTGTCTAATTCTCTGTTCTGGGACACAAGAACTAGGAACTCCTTTGGAGATGCTCACTGAGTCCTGACAGGAACAGTAAACAGAGGCAGTTACAACTGAAGGTATGCCAAGACACAGAATTTGGGTAGAAACATTAGTGTTGAAAAGTTACGTCTTTAGAGTTAACCATAAAAAATAATTTTTGAATATAACTATGACTGAATTGTTGACTTTGCTGTTTTTTACCTTGAAACAAATGTCTAACAAAACAGCCACTGATCCATCAGATAATAGTATTATAATGTGAATATGGTGGGAATCCCTTACAGAGAAGGTTCCCTAGGAACACAGATTAATAATTACCACCAAGCTTATGAATCATTTTTCCATATGAACTAAGCAAAACTTTTTAGTTTGTTACGTTTCCCAAATTAAACATTACTTATATGTATAAATTAATAAAATATAGAGAAGTGTTTTGTTTTATGGTTTTGGATCATATTGTGCTCAACTATCTCCTAATCTTAGTTTCTACTTCATATTAAATCATTTTATTGTGCCAGGAAGATGGCTCAGCAGGTAAAGAAGCTTGCTGTCCCAACCTGATAAGCTGAGTTCAATCCCAGACCCCAAGTAAAGTGGGAAGAGGCAATTGTTTCCACGAAGTTGTCCTTTGACCTCACATGTGCACTATGACACTTATACAAACACATATACCACACACACAAAAAAAAAACCACAATAAGTTCCATATTTGGATCAGAGGAGTATAAATTAAGCCATTGTAAATATATGCTTCTGGAATCCTTGAACAGTTTGGAGGCAAAAAAACTCACCAAGGGAAACATGCAGAGGCTTGTGTTTCCATGCTAATTGTGTTACCCAAAACACCTGTTTACAATGTCCCACATGTAGGCTAAAGGAAGCCTGCCTCCAGTTGGCTCTGATTCAGAACTAAAGTTGCAAACGGCCAACGGTTGGACAGGGAGACAGAGGCGGGATGACTTTTAGATTTCCCGGACAAGGGACAAACAAGGGAAGAAGGGAAAATATTACTAGGATGTCAAAAATTGCAGGGAAAAGGATGGAATTCTTTGGGGGCACAAATGTCTTATATGTGGATGAAGACTAAAGTGTTTTGCAAATGGAGCAAGCTGGAAAAACAAAAAACAAACTGTATGGTTCAAAACCAGATTATAGATATTAAAATGGAATTACGGGAGTGTTGACTTTGGGGCAAGATACCACACAATGTCTGTCTAGTAAAAAGGAAATAAAAACTTAAGTTCAGGCATGGTCTCAACATTTAGGACACAGAGACAAGGAAATCTCTGAGTTCAAGGCAAGCCTTGTCTACAGAGTAAGTTCCAGGAGAGTCAAGCTTAGTCAGTGAAGGAAAGCATGGAAAAGGAAAGCTGGTGAAGATGCAATTGAAGGAGGGAGTCGTGTTCCAGCCCCAGTGAGCAGCTTTGGTCATGTGGCTCTGCCTTTAGAATCAAGAATAGAAGTGGTTATACAATCTCCCTCCATGAAGAAAGTTGCTGAGGTCAGATGTGTGGTTGCGGTATTCCTGTATGGAGGCTCAAGAGGCCATTGTGCGAATGGAATCTCCCTTCCACCACTAAGGAAAGCCATTGAGGGCAGGTGTGTGGCAGGGATGACCCTGCATCCCTAGAGAGACCATTGCATGATGCTGTAAAGTTGAAGTTGCCTTGGAGACCCCATGATTTTGGAGATGCCAGAGTGCTGGGATACCTGTCAAGGAAAGCTGCTAACAGGGAATAAAAACAACCTGAGAGAAAGAACTGTATTGAACTGAATTAAGATGAAAAGACTTTGAGGTCTGAAGAGCATTTGGACTTCAGACATGGAGATGCAGAGTTTGGAATTTGCTCAGCTCATTTTTATTCTTGCTTTGTTCCAGTATTTCCTCATTATGCTCCCTTCCCTACACTTTGGAATGGTAATATATATTCTATGCCATTATATGTAGAACTCATGGCTCCTCTAGGACCATGTCTACCTATATGCTGCCATGCTTCCTGCCATGGTGATAATATACTGAGCCTCTGAAACTGTAAGCCAGCTCCCAATTAAATGTTTTCCTTTATAAGAATTGCTTTGGTCATGGGTGTTTCTTCATAGCAATAAAACTGTAATTAAGACAACTTTCAAATAATGCCTTCAAATCATACCTGTTAGTTAATCTACTCACTGAGCCAGAGACCTCATGATCAAAACATGTTCTAAAAGCCCTACCTCTGAACCCTGTTCTGAGACTAAGTACATCAGCACTGACTGTAGATCAATTTGGGAAGACCACTTACTGATCCTGTAATAGTAGTGAGTGACACAAACACAACATAACCCTTTTTATTTTGGTCTTCGATTTATTTCATTTATAGTTCTCTCCGTGGAGTTGGCACTCTTTAATTTTACTATTTATTGCAAATCATATTCTTTTAAAACTTAGAATTTGGTTTACCACTAATCTATTAAAGCACAACTAACCACTGAGTTTCACTTTATATTGGGAATAGAAGAAGGCACATCTATATTGATGATTCTACAAGGCAGACTGACTGTTTAGGACCTACACCTATGGTCTTAGCACTGACTAGTATGAGGCAGGAAGACGGGAGTTCATTGTGAGACTACATTAAATAAGGAGGCAGGGAACACATAAGACACTGTCTGAAAAACAAAAAGACAAACATACTGGAGTGTTGCAGATATAAAACCAAATAATCTTTACAGCTATCTTTAGTGCCCTAACTAGCCACTAAGGGCCCAGCTGCCAGGATTAGCATCCTGTAGACTATCAGGTAAAAACTTTGGAATGCATTGTTGCCAGACCACTAACTCCCATCAACCAAAAGGGAAGGATATCATGAACTATCTTTACCTAAAGACTATTGAAGAATTATTCCATGCTTTGCTGTAACCCACCTACCACTGTTGTCCCCAACAAAGTCCCTGGCAAACGCTTTGTATTTTATTCTTTTACTGTTAAAGTCTGTGCAATTGCTTTAATATGGAAACATGTTTTCAGGCCAACCTGAATCGATGCTCTCTGGCCATGGTAATTTTTACTTGATTCAAAATAAACACTGTTTTATTCCCACTAAGATGACAGTTCTGTTTTGCATGTACAGTTTCCAGTGACTGTTAGTTTATTAAATTAACAGGTTTTCCTACATTTTGGATTTTTCTATGCACATAACAGAACATCTATCAACTATCACGTGTATTACCTCCTATAGTCTTTATTTTCTCATCGAATAACACACCACCATTTGAATCTTAGAAATATTCAATTTAAATTGTAAATTCAATAAGAATCTGTCATTGTATATGATCTCTTTACTGTCTCACATACTAAGTCCCAGCCACATATCCAGAAAAGAGTCCTGCAATTCCGCCTAAACTGGATGAGTCTGATCGTAAACCTCAGAAAATTCAAGTTTCCCCAGCTGAAACTGCCTCAGCCTCGGCTGACAGCGTCTGTAATCCCGGCCCTCAAACTGACTTAGCCAATCAGCACCAGGTTTAGTAACCCCGCCCCCAGACAGAGGCGGCCAATCAGAAGCAGTATATTTTGCGCGCCCAACTTGCAAAGATGGCGGTGGCCGGTGGCGCGCGGGTCTTTTGCGGAGCCGTTTCCCAGTTTCTCTGTAGCAAACTATGAATGCAGCTGAAGGACGGTGCCACGGAAATGAGTCGGCGAAGGAAGCATGCAGACAGTCCTGCTCGGAGGAGCACGCCGCGCAGGGCGGCTGGCGAGAACTGCTGTCGGGCGGCGGAGTCGGGGCCGCGGGGGTCAAGGGCGGCCCACAACTCCCCGCTCAGCCGGGCTGGAACGCGGGCGCAGCGGCGGTCGCAGCGGCGGGCAGCGGCTGGCGGCGGGCGGAGCCCCGGGGGTGAGGAGAGGGCGGGGAGCGGAGCCCGGCGGTGTAGACCGGGAAGCTTAGGGCTACAGAGCTGAGTCCCCTCAACCGGGCCTTTTCCGACTGCCTCTTTGGTTGTGGGCGGGGTCTGTGCCGTGGACTTTGGCCAGGAAATTGGGCCCCTAGACCTTTGTTTCTGTTTTCCTCGTTGTTTTGTTTTGCAAAACGGGCCACCTCAGAAACTGTAGTGTGCTCCCGGAACTTCCTAGGTGTAACATCCGGTTAGCCCAGCAAACCGATGGCGGGTTCTTTTCTGTAAACTTTTGGAGTTAAAAGATTTCTATTCCAATAAGGACCAGACTCATAACCTCCATCCTAGAGTGTGTTCTTAAAATGTAACATCTGTTACCCTTGCCTGTCTGTGCTATTATAAAACAAAGCTGGGAAAGAACATTTAACATTGTAAAAGTTTAAGTGATTCTAGATAGAGATTCCCTAGCAACAAATCACTAATGCTTTTGGTGTGGGTGGAGTAGAAACTTTGGGTAAAGTTGACAGGAGGGGGTTGTGAAGAGTTTACCGTGGGTTTCTGGTTGGATGCATTTGCAACACATCTGCCACCCTGGAGGTTCCTAAAACCTGGTGATAACAGTTCAGTGACCAGGTGGTATCATTCCTGGGCCTATGGAATTTTCAAAAAACGCTTCCTAACTACAGTGCTAAACTTATGAAGTATTAAATTGAAACATTTCCATCGTGGTTAAAGTAATTGTCTTTAAGAGACAAGTTTTATATTGGACATAAAAATTAATTTGTCTAGGCAGTTATTTGACTTTAGCCCTTATGAAGTAAAGTAAGGCTTAAAAGCAACGATTGTCATCTTATGCAGAAAAGAAGGAGACACCAACACAAGTTCTGAAAATGGATTTAGTATCCTGTACCTTCAGTTCTCCAAATGATCCAGATGGACAGACTGATATCTTCTGGGATCAAAATTCTCCAATGACAAAACAGTTAGGTAATCTGTTATTATTTTTATGTGGGTAGGTGTTTGATGAAGGATTAGTGTTGGTAAAATTTTAGTCTGGTAACACCATACTACAATGGGTTTTTTTTGTCTTTAAGAATCTCATGTGTGATTTTTCTGTCTAATATGCCATGGTGTTAGTGTGGAGTTGTTTATGTTGTACTGATTACAATTGTTTTCTAAAAAGTGACAACTGATTCCTGGTCTAAAATTTATAGAAATGTCTGTTTCTTTAGGTAAAGGAAGGAAAAAGCAGATTTCCAGTGCGTACAGTGATGAGATTTCACATATTGTTAATCGTATTGCTCCTCAGGTAAGTATAGCAAGTCTCATGGTTTATAAAACAGCAAAAATTGTATGCGGTGTGCTTGTGTAGTTCTTTCATAATGTAAAGTAACATGTTTAGAGCAACCAAGGTTACATTTGGCTTTTCTGAGTCCATGTCTTGAAAAAAGGTACGAACTATAGAATGTGAAATTATGGTCATCCGTCAGAATCCGTGGGACGTGGTTTCATGACCCCTTTGGATATCCAAAGCTACAGATTCTGAAGTTCTTTACGTAAAGTGGTGTGGCTTTGCATGGTAACCTGTGTGTGTCCTTTTATATAGTCTGTCTCTTTCTTTCTCTTCATTCATTCATTCTTTTCATTTGTTAATGATGGAACTCAAACTCAGGGACTGACTTTTATTGGGCAAGTGCTCTACCACTAAGCTGTGTCTCTACCCCTCCCATATATTTCAGTCGTCTCTAGGTTATTTATTCCTTAAATAATGTAGTTAGTTGCTATGTTATATTGTAGTTTTTATTGTTAGTGCTTTATTGATTAGTGTCAGTCATAGGTGCCACAGTAGAGAGAGAAGCTCACCAAGATGTTAAGCCTTTATTTTCCCAAGGAGCAGAGGGGTTTAGCCTTTGTTGGAAAAGACTGACATCAGCTAGTTCACTTCATTTACTTTATTCAAACATTATACAAGGTTAATTGAAGCTGGGAAAGGTTCCAGCTACCAAAGTTATCTTGCCCTTGCTGCCCGTGAGAGCAGACAGCCCACACAAATCTCCATCCCTTTTGACCACGGCTAGCCATAATCAAAAGTAAGAGCTCCAGGTTTGCCAGGAGTGTCTTAGGACCAAAGTTGGTGCAGCTGCAAACAAGCTCTCATGTGCAGATTCTCTGGAAAGACATTTCTTCAAGGTTTCAACAGATTCAAAGCAATTTCTCAACCTCTACTGATTGACCCAAACATGGCAAAGGCTTTCCTGAAACAATTCTCTCAAAGCCAGACACAAGGGCTTTAACGTATATATCACTTAAAGCCACACATAAAGGCTTTACTGTACATATTTCTGTAGTGCTTCTTCACTGTCCATAGTGAAAATTTTCCCTGTTGCAGTTTCTCTTCTTAGTATTCTTAATGACTTACAAAGTCACCCAGATACACTGTAAAATTAGAGAGATTGCTGGCTTTAGATATAGGCCTTGTGAAGTCTGTTCTTCTGGGACACCTAGAGAGTCAGTTAACTGTTCTGAACCCCAATTCATTCAACTGTAAAGTAGAATTATTACCAGCTTTGCTTTCTTCAGTGAATTACTAGCATTAAGGTACATAAAATTTTATAATTAACTGGAGTGCTAAAAATATGTTAATTGTGATTTTCATATTTACTTCAATATTTGTGCTGCTTGAGTGAAGAAATTTCAATCATTTAACACAAAGGAGTCCAGTAACTCATTCCTTTTATTAGTCCTGTCAGTGTTAGTAAGAGCATGAGCCCAGAAGAGAAGCTGTTCTGAATTTCGTCTCTTTTTCTTACTTAATTTTTTTACATTTTAAAAAGTATGTGTATGTATGTGTGCATATGTATATTTATGTATACATTGTGTGTATATATACATACTTGTCTGCCTACAATCACAGCATGTGTGTGAAAGAGGTCACCTTGCTGGAGTCAGTTCTCTTATGGTGGTCCCAGGGATTAACTCAGATCATAAGGCTTGGTAGCAAATACCTTTACCTGCTGAGCCATTTTGCCAGCCCTCTGTTTGTTTTGTTTTGTTTTATATATATATATATATATATATATATATATATATATATATATATATATATATATAAATTGTGTGTGTGTATTTACATGACTTGGTATTTCTACTTTTTTAAAAAAATATTATTCATTTATTTATTATTATCTGTATGAGTACATTGTAGCTGTCTTCAGACATACTAGAAGAGTGCATTGGATCCCATTACAGATGGTTGTGAAGCACCATGTGGTTGTTCGCAATTGAACTCAGGACCTCAGAGAGAACAGTCAGTGCTCTTAACTGCTGAGTCATCTTTCCAACCAACCCTCTTTTTCCTAATTTACAACACTTAAATTCAAAGAATATCTTAAGTTTTGCTTAATGTTATCTTTGAGGAAATGGTTTTATTTTTCTTTAGTATACCCTATATATATTAATTACATATATATATGTGTGTGTGTGTGTGTGTGTGTGTGTATGTATGTATGTATAATAGGCCTATGTATTATTGGCCTATAGTAATGACCCACAGATGCCTCTGGTCCAGAATGTGATTATGAGGAATCACTATATCCAAAAAGAGAAGATAGGAACAACTTTCCTGTGGCTATAGAAACCTAGACTTATAATCATCAGTCAGTACAGCTTTGTAGCTGGTATCTCTGCTTCCCATGTTGTCATGCCATAGGATTCATTGTATCAATTCTTTATTTTTGAAGTACATTTATGCTATAATATTACTGTGTGTGTTAACAATATGTCGTTATTAACTGCATCAAAGAAGCACAATAAAACATGTTGGGGTTGACCATCCTATCATGAATGATACAAAGTTGGTTGTACTGTTGGCTCCTTAACTAAATGGGCTAGAAATAGCAACTTATGTGAAGAAAAGACAGCAATACTAGGATTACTCAATCAGTGTCTTCTGCTGGACATTCTTAAAGCAGGTTAATTGTTGGCAGCATTAAGATCTCTTGGAAAATGTCATACTCTCATACATATTTGAGGTTTTCCTAGTTATCTTCAAATTATTTAATTTCTTCCTAATGGTTTCTGATTTCAGTTTTTAAGACATATATTTGCATATTAGTCATTCCATTTTCTGTAGTGATTTCTTCTGTGGTATTTAAGGTCTTTATTTTCCTTATTTATATAACTATGCAGTGCTCAATAAGATCAATTGAAGGCTGACACAACTTGTGTGGCACCTAGAATGAACTTAGGAATCAGTAAGTTAGGTAATAATCATAATTTAAAATCTGCTTTTGTCATTTTGTCTGTTTGTTCATTCTTAGCTTTAGCTTTGACCTTGCTGTAAAATCTCTAATTGGTTCTGACATTACTACTATCCGTACTCTCAGTTTAAGTCAAGGTAGAGCTTCCAATTTTTAGGTAAAAGTTTATGAGGATAAGAAAACTTTGGAGAATCAGTACTGCAGAAAGAATTCTGAATATATTCTTATTTTCAGGTCTGATAATTATATGTAGTTTCTGGTTATGTAAGCTTCTTTCAACTGAAATGTTATTTTTCTTCTACCAAATGATTTTTATATGTATATAACATCAAAATGTATTTGATAGGCAATGTACTTTAAACCTTGGTTTTTGTAAATAGGGAATTCCTAAATTTGAATATTCCTTTTTACTTGTGGGAATATAAATGGATCATAGCTTCTGACTTACTGCCTTTCTCAAGTTTCTCATTGTTTGAATTTGTTAAGTGATTACCACAGAATTCTCCTGTCTAGTCTCTTCTCTCTCTCTCTCTCTCTCTCTCTCTCTCTCTCTCTCTCTCTCTCTCCCCCCCCTTAGGGAGGGGTAGTTGGTTGTTTTATGGAGCTCTTATACTTCTGTTCTCTTCCCTCTTTCAAAGGATGAAAAACCAGTGACAAACTCTATGCTGGGTGTATGGATTGGCGAAACTGCTATTCCTTGTACTCCTAGTGTAACAAAAGAAAAATCAAGAGTGAAAATCAGCAGCATAAAGTGAGTTCAGCCTTCACTTCTTGTAATTCAGTGAGGCAGGTATTCTATTCTTATTTTGGATTAAGTCAAAGTAGTAAACTGTTTTTGTTTCAATATGTGAGTTAAAAACATGTTATTCTGAGAGTTAAAATTTTGGTATTTTGTCACACTAAACTATTTTAAACAATAATTAGGTACTTATTAAACAGTTTTTTAAATTAAAATGTTTCAATTTTTTTTAATAGATTAAAAACAAAAAATCGAGAAAAAGAACTTATGAAATTGGCCCAACAGTTTGATAAAAATATGGAAGAACTTGATGTAATTCAAGAGCAAGATGGGAAGAATCATGATTTTATCCAGACAACTTCGGAAATGGGACATTTACATAACCATAAAGATTCTGTACAGATGAGGTCAGATGAAATAGTTCCTGAAATCAACTGTACTCCAATAAAGAAGCAAATGAAAGGAGACACTAGAATATCGTTGGCAAAGGGGCAAAACAGCAGTCAGAAACCCTTTGACCAAAATGTTGAAGCAGCCTTTAATGCTATTTTTGATGGTTCCACTCAGATGTGTAGTGGACAGCTAAGCCAAGATCTGTCAGATGCTTTTTTGGACAATAGTAAAACTTCCTTCAGAAAGAAAAATGCCATACTACAAGAGGAAGTAATTACTACTGAAACTCTGCTTGCTGAAAACCTGCTAAATAAAGCTCCAAGATCACCTTCCCCTCAAGTAGATACTACCGTAATACTGAAATCATGTGTGACTCCCTGTCATAAGACACCAGCAGCATCTAATAAACAACTTGATGAGTTGACTGCTAATGATTTTGAGGATGATTGGGAAAGCTTACTAGGCAGTGAGCCCTTCCTTACGGAAAATGCTGAAATGCTTGAACTCTTTCCTTCTACAGCTGCCCAAGATACTGGTCAGAAGGCAGTTTGTACCTCGATTGGTGAAAATGATATAATCACATCAAGAGCAAATATGAATCTAGGTGGAAGGTTAAGAGATTCAAAAGTAACACTGGATCTTCCTTTAAAGGCACAAAACAGAGAACTAAGAAATGCTGGAGAGTACAGGTTTTCATCACATCCAGGTGATGAATCAAGGAAGTTACCATTCACTGGAAGTAAAGTGAGATTTGAGAAATCTGTCACTAACATTGTTAGTAAAAATGAAGATGATGTTACTGTCTCTAATATTACGAAAGTGAAAGAAGAAGGTCATAGTAAGTGCATACTTAATGTACAGGCCTCTAACAAGTCTGGTTCATACACAAGGTATCCTAATGAACAAAACTACAAGCTTGGTATTAACCTGCCTTTGAAAGTCCCTACCACTGACCCATTTGATTCTGCATTCTTGAGCAAAGAAAACATTGTGTGTAACACAAATAAGCTTCATGGATCAAAGTTCAATTCTTCCTTCGATGACTGGAATGATCCGCTGTTGGCCAGTGAAATGATTAAAGCATGCCATCAGTTAGAGACTACCTGGGAAGCGGATGATGTAGACGATGATTTGTTATATCAGGCTTGTGATGACATTGAAAGACTAACTCAGCAAGAAAACAAGGATAGCAAGGAGTCAGAAAGTATAAACGATACTTCCAAACATGCATCTAAACATTGGGATCTTGTCAGCTCTGCAGTGCCATTGTCTTTAGCAAGTAAGTCACAGATAAATAAGCCAGTGACAGTAGAGAAAAGAGACATATGTGAAGATTGTCCCAATGTTTTGGATGCTACAAATTTGTCTGTGTGCTCTAAGAATTCAAGTGATAATCAGCATGTACCAGTACAAGTGAATAGTTCAAAATTTGTTCTTGCAGGAAGTTCAAATTTGAATGTAAATTTGAGTCCTGTGAGCACAAAAATTGCTACTAATAGGAAGTTGAGTACTCAGCAGCTATCCCACAACAGCTTAGCAGATAAAGCCCAGAATGACAACAAAGTACTGAAGTTATCAAAATTCACATTTAAGAAGAAAAATTCTCAGTTCCTTTCTCAGTTAAATCAAAATCGTCTACCAGGAAGTACGCCTGTTAGCAAAATCTCAGAGGATTTAGGGAGAAGAGAAGCTGTCAGTTCATTGCTTGAAGCTAATCAACAGCAATCTTCAATAAAATATTCTGAGTCTTTGAAACCATCTTCCCCAGGTATGTATGAAGTAGTTTTCTTTGAAAAGTATTAATGTTACTTGTTTTGACTAGCAGGTACTAACTAGTATGGAAAGAAAATTCAATGCTGGTTGTGACAATTTATGCGTTATTTGATGCAACCCTTTTAATTTTTCGAATTCATCTTTTGAATTGTTATTCCTTCAATACATATATTCCATTAATCACACCTCAAAATGCATCTTGAGACTGTTTACAACATAGCAAGCACCCTAAATTCAACTTTGTCTCCTTAGATTCTAATCTTCAAAACATCAAAGTAATCTTGTAAACCCACATAAAAAGATATTTATCCTCTCTTCTTCCTCTTCCTTTACCTCCTGTTCCTCTCCCTCTTCCTCCCTCTGTACACATGCCCCACCCAACATGTGACTCCCCTGGCCTCAATCTTCGGGGTCAGTAAACTCACCTGAGAGCAGCTTCCCAATAAATGTGCCTTTAATGTAATCTTAAAAAAACAAACAAGGCCGGGCGGTGGTGGCGCACGCCTTTAATCCCAGCACTTGGGAGGCAGAGACAGGCGGATTTCTGAGTTCGAGAGTTCGAGGCTAGCCTGGTCTACAGAGTGAGTTCCAGGACAGCCAGGGCTACTCAGAGAAACCCTGTCTCGAAAAACCAAAAAAAAAAAAAAAAACTTAAGTGGATGGTTCATTTTATATAAAATCTAAAGCATAAACTATAATCTGAAAAATATTGAATTATCTTTCCTTAACCTGCATTACCTACTAAAACATAGGAATACAATGGTATGTAGTAATTTGGACTAATTACTTTGTTTGAGAACATCACTGTTATTAGTTTGGTATATGTCCTGAAACTTTAAATCACCTTATATTGTAAAAAGTGATGTTTGATTATGACATTTTCATACTTGTATATAAGTTTTATCTTAGTTGCTGCATCCCTTTGCTGTTGGTCCCCTTCTCAAATGGTCACCTTTCATGTCATTTGTTGTTTGCTACATGCTTTAGTCATTCATTGATGGATAGATACTGAGGTTGGTTACATGACTTAGCTGTTGTGAATGCATATTTCTATAATAAACATAGGTATACGAGCCTATCTATTGCTTACTAACTTTGAATCCTTCAGTAATGTACCAACAACAATAATATAACTAACTAGTCATAGCCTTTGAAGACCCTTTGTACTGATTGTCCTAGTGATCACACTCGTGTGTGTGTGTGTGTGTGTGTGTGTGTGTGTATCTGACTTTTACCCACCAATAGTATATAAATATTTCTCCCACCTTGATAACCATTCTAGTTGAGGTAAGCTTAAATGCAAGAATAGTTTTGATTTGTATTTCCTTGATGGCTAATGATGGTGAACTTTTTTTTAAGTGTGTTAATTTGTTGCCTTACTTCTTTGGGTGTTCTTATTTAATTGGCCACGTGTTCTCTGGATTATCTGTGTACTTTTTGTATTTTGTTGTTGAGTCCTTTATATATTAATATATATCATTATATTAATATCCATAATATGGATATTAGTCCATATTGTAAGTGTCCAGCAAAGATATTCTCCCATTGTCTAGTTTATGTATTCACTGTGGTTACTAATTTCTTCTGTTGTACAAACTCTCTATAATTTGATACAGTCCTGCTTCTCAATTCTGGCTATTTTTTCCCTGGGCTATTAGAGTCCTTTCCAGAAATTGCTGTCCATTGCCTGTATTTTGAAATGTTTTACCTGATTTCCAGTAGTTCAAACAGAATTTACATTAATATTTTTAATCCATATTGAATTGGTTTTCAGAAAGATTGAGAGATACTACATACATATGGGTATCCATTTTTTCCAGCATCATTTGTTGAAAAACTATCTTTAATGTATGTTTTTAGACTCTTAGAGAATCAGCTGCATGCAGATATTTGCATGTCTGCCTTTGTGACAGCATTGTGCTGATTTTGTTACTCTGTGACAAAATTTGAAATCAGGTTGTTTTGGTGTGCCTCTGGCATTATTCATTTTACTTAGGATTGCTTTAGCTGTGTGTGTTTATGTGTGTGTCTGTCTGTCCATCCATGTCCCTGCATAAGTTTCTATATAAATTTTAGAACTTTTTTTTTAGTTCTGTGAAGTATGTCATTGAAGTTTGGATGTGGATTGCATTGAATCTGTAAACCCATTTTGGTGATAGGGCCATTTTTACGGCTTTAATTCTTCTCGTGCATGAATATTGGAAATACATTCATCTAGTGTTTTAAATGTCTTTGTTCTTTAGTTGTCATTGTGTAGGTCTTTCATGACCTTGGTAGTTTTACTTCTAGAGTTTTGTTGTTGATTGTTTTTGTAGTGAGTTTGATATATAGAAGAGTTACTAGTTTTTATGTATTAGTTTTTTTATACTGTTAAATTACTGAAAATGTTTATCTGATCTAAGACATTCTAGTGATGTCTTTGGAGCCCTTTATATATATGATCATATAGTTAGCAAATGGATATAATTTGTTGGCTTCTGTTGTTTGTATTTCCTCTTAGTGCATTATTGTTGCACTTAAGACTTCCAGCACTGTGTTGAATAAGAGCAGAAAGGACAACTTTCTTCATATCTAATTTTAATACGGAAATGGTATCAGTTTTTCAGCAGTATAATTTTAACTGTAGGTTTGTCTCATACATTTTTTATTGTGTTGAGGTATGATCCTTCTGTTCCTAGATTCTTTAAAATTTTCTGGGAATGTGTCTGCATCCCTGGAATGAAGTCAGCTTGATCATGATCTTGTTACTATGTTAGTGAATTTGATTTGCAAGTATTTTATTGAGTGAATTTTGCTATGTTACTCAAGGAAATGTATTGTTGCATCCTTATCCAGTTTTGATAGTTTTGTAGAATGAACTTGACTTACTTAAGATCTCTGAATTTTTAATATGGACAACTCAGAGCTATAGATTTTGCTCACTTATCTTTACTCTAAATGTTCTATAGTAAGTTGTGTTTTCATTTTTACTTGATTCTAGACATTTTTAAAATTCCCTTTTGATTTCTTGAGTGACAAACTTTTCCCATATAAATCTGGTAAGAGAAAAAATCCAACGTTTATCCCCACCTCGTTTATTCCCGTGTGTGTGGTATGCGCTTGTGTGTATGCACGTATGTGCTCACGCACACATGTTAAGACTTATGACTTAACATCTGTTTTGGAGAAAGCTTAGTGGGTTATGAGAATTTCTGCTATGGTTGAATTGAATATTCTGTATATTTCTATTAATTTGATCTATGGAATAGTTTAACTTAGTGGAGGAGATAAGTTGGATGATGTATCAGCCATTTTTCTCCTGGTTTTAGTTTTTCCTGAGATGTCTGTTGTTCTCAGAGGTTTACCTTTGCATGTAACTTGGTACTTCTTCTGTCACTTCTCAGTATTTCTTTCCCTAGATTTAGTAAATTTTATGCGTTAATTTTATTGAGTGGGCTTTCAATGCCTATAGTTTCCTCTCATAGACTACAAATGCTTTAGTTTGGTCTACTGTCTCTTTGTCTCTTTTTGCATTTCCTTAATAAATTTTAGCTGTCATTTCTTGTTAGTACTTGTAGGTTTCCTTTATTCCTTTTAGAGTCTGCATATTGTATGTTATATTGTTGTTTGTGTTAGATATTGGGTTTCTATTACGGTGGAGCTTGGTTTGGTTAGTTTTTTGCAATTATAGCAGTTCAGTAGGATTTCTCCTTCTTTACAGATTTCTGAACTTTGTGTAATTGTATCTGTTAATTCCGAAAAACATCAAGAATGTTGTAAAATTTGACAAATATTAGCAAATTTCCTTCCAAATGACTAGACAGATTTTGATTTTTATCAGTACTGACAGTGAGTATATTTCGATGTTACAGCCCAGTGTGTCTTACAACATTAAGAATTATTGACAGTCTATTATAGTTGTAAATATTGTAAATTTATTTTAAACTGAATATACTATAACTAATTGGATGAAGTTTCTAAAGTGAATTGCATATACTTTTAATTCCAGTAAAGACTTAATCCAGACTGCATTTTTAGGTAGATGTATAATTTGTCTTTTATCCTAGCAGTTTTTCTTCTAAGTTTGTTCATAATGCTTAATCTTCCTGGCTAATATTAGCCTCATCCTTGTTTTGTATTGTTTTTATTCACTTTCCCTTTGATGTGTCATAAGCTGGTTTCCAAGTTATATCCTTGAAACAAAAGCCTGTTAGTAAGCTTAAGGCCAGAGTTAGTCAAGTTGTAGCCTGTTTTTATACAACTAGTACATTAAATCTCATTTTTAAAATTTAAAAGTTTAGTGCTTTTTAAAAAAATACACGAGCAAAAAAAAAAAAAGCAAAAAAAAAACACACTAGCATGATAACTGATTTGAAAATGTGAATTGTATAAAGTCCATTCAAACGTATCTTGATAATTGGTTTACATATTACACGTAACTTTTTTGTATAAAACTAATAGATCAGTTGTAGCGATAGCATTTTGCTATTAAAAGTTAACTTTGGGGGGTGTCCTATAGAGAATAGCAATTGCTGGCCCTTATGCTTAAAAACAATAAAAAAAATCAAGGCACTTAGTTGCTTAGAACTGTGTAGCAATTTGACTTTGTGTTTGATATTATATATGAGAGAGAGAGGGAGAGAGGGAGAGAGGGAGAGAGAGGGAGAGAGAGAGAGAGAGAGAGAGAGAGAGAGAGAGAGAGAGAGAGAGAGGAGGAAGAGGAGGGAGGGAGGGAGAGAATGAATGAGAATGTGTGTGTTAGTGGAAAGGCAGATGGGAAAGTGTTTAACTTTTCCTAAATCAGAATTTTATAGTGTGATTTCATACATTTGAAATTATTTTCCATGTTATTAAGCCAATTTTAAAGACTTTTTATTTTATACCATTGTGGGCTAGTAACTTGGTTTTTTTGTTGTTGTTGTCGTCATTGTTTTGTGGGGTTTTTGTTTTTTTGTTTTTGTTTTTTTTTTGAGACAGGGTTTCTTTGTAGCCCAGGCTGGCCTTGAACTCAGAAATCCGCCTGCCTCTACCTCCCAAGTGCTGGGATTAAAGGCGTGCGCCACCACTGCCTGGCTATCTTATTTTTTATAAAATATATTTTGGCATTTCTTTGGTATGGAAAGTAAAGTCTAGCTTAGAAAATAATAGATATCAGAGTTATCTGAGTTGATTAGAAATAAACAGTTCTTGAGTATCCTTTCCCATTTTTGGTTATACCAAGAAACAAAGTAGATAGATAGTATATTTTGAGAAATATGTCCCTTCATTAACATTCTATTTATTATATATGTACATGTAGTTACATGTATAATTAATATATATCATATCTGATTTAATAGTCAAACCAGAGTGGTGAAAAAAACAAAGATTAAAACAGATACTCAAAATGACTTAAAGGTTCTAAGATTAATATGCTTTGTTTAATTTTTAGATGAAGAAGAGAGAAATAGGAAGTATTCTCCTGAAGAAATTCAACGAAAAAGGCAGGAAGCACTGGTTCGAAGAAAGGCCAAAGCATTGCATACTGTGCAGTCAACTCCTATTTCACTGCCTTGATGAAAGTTGAGTTAGACGGTTTCAGAACTATTGATAACTATCTGTGATAGGACTTTTCTGATTTCTCTGTGAGAAATTTAATGCTGACTTATAAAGCGTGAGCTTCTACTTTATTATTTAATAAATCAATGTTTACAGTGGTAAATGAAACTTTCTCAGATGTATGTGAATTATGTATATAAGTATTTGAAAAGTTAACAGTTATGTATATACAGAGGGAAGTACTTATCTTTATTAAATATGGTAACTGATGAGCATCAAAAATAGCTGTAAAGCTTCTGTAGAAGGCTTTCTCAAGCACAAAGATTAAAATTGCTAAGTAAACAGCAACTTGGTTTTGTAGTGTCATTTTCAGCTGACGTTTTTTATACATTATCAATTTTTAACTAATATTCCCATAATCTTACTGGTCTTGCTGAAAAGTAGAGAATTTCTGCTTATTTTCAAGAAAATTGTGTTTAATTGCTATCTAGAAGTAGCTAAATTTAATATTTCTAAAATGTGATTCGATTTGAAGACATTTCACTGTTAGGAAAACCACAGACTAGGCCCTAAGTCTAGTTTAGCGAAAAGGAAAAAAAAAAGAAAAAAAAAGCTTTAGAATTGGCAGAAACATATCATCTGATCCAGCTTCTTTGTCATATAGGTTAGATATTACAATTCAATCTGTTCTTTCTCTTTGTTTACATACCTGTTTGTGTCAGGCTCATGCTACGTGGCCCAGGCTGGCCTTCAACTCTCTCTGTCACCCAGATGGCCCCAGACTATCAGTGATCATCTTGCCTCAGCCTCCTCAGTGCTCTTAAGTACAGATGTATGCCACCATGCCCAACTCATGGTATTACTTTCAAAGTCACAGACAAGTTAAACCTGCCCTTATGTTTGAATGGTTTTTCTGAACATCTGAACAGTTTTATGATTTACTTCAGTCTATTAGTACTTAAAATAATTGGAAGGAACACAAACACTTAATATAATCTAAAGTACATTAAAGACTGCTTATTAACAGTACTTACAAACATTCTTTAATTTAAAGAATTAACTAATCTTTCCAGGATTCAAAATTAGACTTTCTATTCTCAGTTTTCTTATTACTGTAATTTCCCTTCTTATTAATTATTTACTTCAGTGTTTTTCCATCTGTCATCCTTGCCCCCTTTTGGCTTTTAAACAATGAGCCAGTAATAAAAACCTTAACTAAAGGGGAGGGCATGCAGCAGTAAGGATGCTAGTAGTTTTCTAAGTACTTTTTAATATATATGAAGAAAAGTATAGATGTGAAACACTCATCTTGGTCTGGTGTTCACTATTGTTCAGGTGTCTGAGAGCTTTGACAATCTGATAGTTATTATGTATCATTTTTCAAATTTTATTTATTTATTTATTTATTTATTTATTTATTTATTGTTTGGTTTTTCGAGACAGGGTTTCTCTGTAGCCCTGGCTGTCCTGGAACTCACTCTGTAGACCAGGCTAGCCTCTAACTCAGAAATCAGCCTGCCTCTGCCTCCCAAGTGCTGGGATTAAAGGTGTGCGCCACCAGTGCCCGGCTCAAATGTTATTTTTATATGTACAGTAAAGCAGATTTTAGTTTCTCCGCATTATCGAAGAGTATATTATAAAGACGTAAATAAATGTTGTAAGTTAATGTGTAAGAGAATGAAGACATTGGATAATAAATCATAATTGGTGAGCTGCATTTAACATTGCTGAATGTTTTGCTTACATGAATAGCTTTAAGCTTTGTATTTAACTCTTCTCAGTTCAGTCATATAACACTTATATTCCCATTTTGTATGTCAAGGAAATCTAGTTAAATAGATAAACGACTTTCTTGAACCCAAAAATTAGAAGTTGGTGTTGAAATTTGAATAGTGTAATATAAGATGTTGTGATTGAAAAATTCTGTAATCAAAACTTGGAAACTTGATGTCACAATGTGAAATCACAGTTGTGTATCTATCTTATAAGAACAAACATAAAGGCTTTGCATGGAGAGTATCTGTACTTAAAATTAAGTAAGGCTGTTGTGACAAAACACACATGCAGTAAGACACTCGCTAGGCAATGGTTTCATTCTTTTAAATAAACAGTCTTTCCTTCTGTCAAATCACACTAACACTGTTGAACACCCTACACAAAGCCTGACTGAAAATATAAAAATCTTGTAGCAATATGGAAATTTACGTTCATAAACACGAATTGGACTCACATCTAGCTATTTTCTTTTTATGATTTTTTTTCTTTTTTTAAGGACATGTAGTAAAACTATTCCAAGGCTAGAATAACTCGTGTAAGGTTATATTTTTATTTTGTTTGTAGTAAAATGTATGAAGATAGAGCACAAATGAAAAATTGAAGCATCCAAATAGTTGAATTTCACATTTTGGAAAAAATGTCTTTATGACATTTATGTCTCTTCCTTTAGTAGCACAGGAGCCTTATTAGAGGAAAGGAGGGAAGAGTTCTTGTCAGGGGTTGCATTTGTTTCTGGGTTTGGGGATAATCTCTGATTTTCAAAGCCTTTGCCAAGGCTTATGGTCAGTACTTTGTAGTGAGTGAAGCTTGACTGTGACCCCCTACCCCAGGTAGTGACCAGTGAGCATTGTCACCTGTGTGTTTCTGGTGTCTGACTGGGAATAGAAGGGTTATAGGTAACAGCAACCTCCAAGTTCTTGCTACCTTTTGTTTCTCATGGGCCTTTGGAAAAAAATTTTTTTGAAACCTAGAATGCTGTAGAACTAAGACTAACACCCTTATAATAGTTACTGGTGCTACAGTAGCCTATGTTGTAATCAACTCCAACCAAAAGTATCGAGTGAGTCACATCTGTGGTAGGACTTTTCGATTTGCAGTGCCTTTTCACCTGCAGACTAAAAAATACAAGCAAACATTTATAAATAAATCCTCAAAGAATTTATTTTTAAAATAAATCACTAGATTGTGTGTGTTTAATTTTGCCATTCATTAGAGATGAAAGCAAATTTACATTCTTAAATTAATGTACTTATTTTTTCATAATTACATATTGCCTGAGTACTGCAGAATATACATTTTTCAAAGTCTTGTTTCTCTGATGAAGCCACTGTTTCTATAAAGAGGAAACATGTATTTTGTATGTTACACTTGTACTTTAGTAATTCCATGTATCAGAAAAAAAAAATACAAAAAGTGACCCTTCACGGATCTCAGTTATGTGAGCACCGTGCCTCTGGAGGAACAAGTTGCTAATGTGCAGAAGAGATGGGTCATATTGTTTCTCAGGATGCATTTTTCTGTATATTAATAGCTTGTTAGGTAGCTATTAAGGTACTAAAGCTGAGAAATGTCTACAGGGACCGATTGCAATAAAACTAGTTATGATTTGAAAAAGGACCAAACCAAGACTGAAACCCATCAGCATAAACATCAAATCCTTCAGCTCATGTCTAGACTTTGGAGCTTGCATTAGAATTAATTTTGTGGGCTTCAAAGTTAGATGCCCCAAACCTGCAGCACACAATGCCGGTAGAATGGTCCTGCTTCACGGCAGCAGCTTTCCTCAGCACACATCCCATAGTTGTGGCGTCACCAGTCTCCCAGGGATTGCCATTACAACTTTGGCTTCATATTCTCCCAAATGACCCTTTCAAGGCCTTATTGAAGGGCCCTAACCCTGCCACATAGCCTAGCCTCAGCAGCTCCCTGGAACCATGAAGGAAGACTATGGATCCTCTCAAGCTTGCATCTTTTATGCTTGCAGAACCAGGACAACGTGGATGATGCCATCAGTTTCTGCTGCTAGCTCAGGATCACTGTTGCCTGTTCTGTGTACTCACCCCAGGGAAACAGAAATGTGAAACCCTCCCTTGGTGTTATCAGTTTAGACTTTCTGAAAACAGTTTGAACTTTCATAAAATGCATTCTTAGTGGATGGAGACTTACTCTGCGCAGCTTTTTCTGTTGAACCACAGCAGTGTCAAGCATTGATACAAGTTGTTGGATGTAGTTACGTGATCCGCTGCCGTCAGCCAGCCCTAACCCAGCTTCCTTTTCTACCCGACTTTGCTCCAGGAACGGTTGAGTTACCAGCACTCCCATGATGCCTGAATCCTCAGAATAAAAGACACACAGACAGCTTTATTATTTCAAACTTGCCTGCTAGGCATAAATACCTCAGCCTGAGAATTCGTGCCCTTAACAATTCATTTCCTCCATCTCACCTTTCACGTTAAACTTAGTGGCTAGTATCAGGTAGCTCTTGCCAACATCCTTGGCCATCCACCAGTAGCAGAGGCCACAGGCCCTAGCTGCTCTGAGACCTTACATGATTGTTGCCTTCTCTTTCCAGAGCATAGCAGAAAAACCTCTCTCCTTTGTATCTGCCTTTTCCTCCTGAGACCCAGAAGTCCCACCTATATCTTCTGCCCAGCAATTAGCTCTCAGCCTTTATTGACAAATCAAAAACCAATTAGAGAACTAGACCTTAGTATCAGAACCTCTCCTTACAAAAACTAATTAATGTCTTGCTTGTAGGTTAAATTGCACTTATTTGCACACTTGCTGTTTGACTACAAACCTAGATCAGAACAATAAACAGCCATGTCAAAATTTGAACACTATTCTGCCTTGAAATTTGTTCCGCCAAACAAATTAGTTCATTATTCCTGTAATCATCTTTGTTCCAGTTCTTGGGGTTTGGGGAGAATGCAGCCGCCCTCCCCCCAACCCCCATAACTCAATGGCCTTTAGCCTAGTTTCAGATACAGTCCTTGATCTCTGAAACTTGATTTTGTAGACTTCGTTTTGAATCACTGATATACATGCATTACCAATCACCCAACAGCCCTTCAAATTTCTGTTTACATGGTGTTAGGATTCTCTAGAAAACAGCACAATGTATATAGCTGTAAAAAGGATTGGATTTTATGCTGAGAGGGTAGACAGTTTCATGACAGTCATCTAGTTGGGTAAGCAGTAATTACTCTGCCCCAGGATCTGATACCTCAGAAAAAGAAACCAACCAAACAGCCCCAGCCTGAGGTTACTGGCTTAGGGGTTTCTGAAGAGTTGCTAGTGTGAAACCACATTCAGAGACTGAGGGAATTGGAGACTGATGTGATGGGTAATCTTGGTTGCCATCTTAGCTGGATATGAAATCAACTAAACCACAAGACCTTGGAGACTCCTATGAGAGTCTTTGTTAACCAGATGTCTTAAGTGGGAAGACCTGCCTATGGTTGGCACCTGGTAGCAGCCCCGCAAAGTAGACATGGACATGGAAGGCATCCCTGCCTTCACTATTACTGACAATCTATCTGCCTCTTGCTGCATTCTCGATATACAAATGG